AGTCCACCTCGAGTACTGGAAGCTGCTGAGTACCGAGTCCACCTCGAGTACTGGAAGCTGCTGAGTACCGAGTCCACCTCGAGTACTGGAAGCTGCTGAGTACCGAGTCCACCTCGAGTACTGGAAGCTGCTGTGTACTGAGTCCACCTCGAGTACTGGAAGCTGCTGAGTACCGAGTCCACCTCGAGTACTGGAAGCTGCTGAGTACTGAGTCCACCTCGAGTACTGGAAGCTGCTGAGTACCGAGTCCACCTCGAGTACTGGAAGCTGCTGTGTACTGAGTCCACCTCGAGTACTGGAAGCTGCTGAGTACCGAGTCCACCTCGAGTACTGGAAGCTGCTGAGTACCGAGTCCACCTCGAGTACTGGAACTGCTGATACCGAGTCCACCTCGAGTACTGAAGCTGCTTGTACCGAGTCCACCTCGAGTACTGGAAGTGCTGAGTACCGAGTCACTCGAGTATTTGGAAGCTGCTGAGTACCGAGTCCACCCTCGAGTACTGGAAGCTGCTGAGTACCGAGTCCACCTCGAGTACTTGTCCTCATCATCCTCGGACAAAGAAAATATCTGGTTACTTCTCTGCCTAATTCTCTTCTTTGTCCTCCAGATTGTCTCTCTTTGTCTCTTGTTCTTCCCAAGGGGAGGGGAGGGGGAGGGGGGAGGGGAGGGAGGAGGGAGGGGATTTTGATTCAGGAAGGGTGAAAGAGGTCTTGATCCAAGGAATTAGAACTACCTTTTTCCCCCCTCCTCACTAGTTAAGGCTCCCTTACTCCTTTAGGGTTTACGATTCAAAAATTTAATGACAATAATAATGTAATTATAATAATATAATTGAAAATTTAAAAAATTATTATTATTATTATTATTATTTTATTTTTTTATTTATTATTATTATTATTTTTTTATTATTATTTTTTTATTATTATTATTTTAAATTTTATTATTTTGTTATTATTATTGTTACTTTTATTATTATTATTATTATTATATTATTAATATCTTTTGGGCACTCAATTCTAGTGTGTATGTGTGCTCACATAATTGTGGTTGTAGAGGTTGAGTTACAGCTCCTGGTTCCGCCTCTTCGCTGGTCGCTACTAGGACCACACACTCCCCGCTCCATGAGCTTTATCATACTTCTTCTTAAAGCTGTGTATGGATCCTTCCTCCGTTATATCACTCTCCAGACTACAACACTTCATGACTACTCTGTGACTGAAGAAATACTTCCTAACATCCCTGTGAATCATCTGAGTTTTCAACCTCCAGTTGTGACCCCTTGTTGCTGTGTCACATCTCTGAAACATCCTGTCCCTATCCATCTTGTCAATTCCTCTCAGTATTTTATATGTCGTTATCATGTCCCCCCTATCCCTCCTGTCCTCCAGTGTCGTCAGGTCGATTTTCCTTAGCCTCTCCTCGCAGGACATTCACCTTAGCTCCGGGATTAACATTGTTGCAAACCTTTGCACTTTCTTGATTTCTTGGGGGGGCCATTTGACCAGTGTGGGGTTCCATACGGTGCTTCGTACTCTAATATGGGCCAGACGTACATGATGTGCCAGTGTCTTGAATGATTCCTTAGTCAGGTGTCAAAACTCTATTCTTAGGGTTGCCAGGCGCCCATAAGTTGCAGCATTTATATTAATAAGATATCTTTATTAACTACCAGTACATGTACAAGGTATACAGATCATATCTGACATCAGTGACATACTACTATATAGAAAGTCGCTTGTTATACTGAGCATTTCCCGCAAATTAGGTCAGTTTTGTCCCAGGATGCGACCCACACCAGTCCACTAACACCCAGGATGCGACCCACACCAGTCCACTAACACCCAGGTACCTGTTTCACTGATGGGTGAACAGGGACAGCAGGTGTCTTATGGAAACACGTCCCTAATATTATCCAGCTGTAACGGAGATTCGAACTCCGGACCTTAGTGTGTGAGCTGAGTGCGCTAGTGATCCTCGGTATGATGCTCACCCTAAGATCCTTCTCCTTGAGTGAAGTTTACAGCCTTGGATTCTCCCATCCCCAACGAGCCTATAGTCTCTCTCTGATTTTCTTTGACCTTCCCAAAATTTCGTAACTTTGTACTTGCTGCGGTTAAATTCCAGGAGCTGTTTGTCGGACTAGGCTTGCAGCCTGTCCAGATCCCCTTATCTGATCCTCTTCAACTTGTATTGTCATTAGTTTCATGACGTCTGCAAACAAAAATCCTGGCTATATCTCTTCTCTCTGTCATTCACATATACAAGAAAGTGGAATGGACTTAGGACGGGCCCTTGTGGAACCCCGCTCGTCACAGGCGCCTACTCTGACACCTCGTCACGTACTATCACTCGTTTCCTTCCTGACAGATATTCTCTGATCCCTTTCGTGCCTTTTTTTGGTTTTGTATTTTGCCCGTTCCTTTCAGGTGCTCCCCCACTCTTCGTGAAATCTTTTCCATAACTTTTCATTTGTACATGTCAGACAGGGGTTTTAGTTTAATGCTACCTGTCTGTCCCTTTCTTAAAGATTTGGGACGCATTTTTCGTCTTTTACATCTCAGGACGGCTCTGTTTCGATAGATGTGTTGAAGTTGTTGTTTGGCCCAAGAGCGCCTTCTCCCTGCTCAGTACCCCTGGAAAAATGCCGGGCCCACCACCTTTCCGGGACTAACTCACTTGTGTGTGTGGTGTGTGTGTGGGTGGTGTTGTGTGTGTGTGTGGTGTGTGGGTTTTGTGTGTGTGTTGTGTGGTGTGCGTGTGTGGTGTAATGTGTACTCACCATTTGTGGTTGCAAAAGGTCAGACTCCCCCCTGGCCCCGCCCCTTTACCGGTGCTACTAGGTCCACTCTCTCCCCCTGCTCCATGAGCTTTTTCAACCCCTCTTAAAGCACACAACACACAAACACAACACACACACACACACACAAAACACACACACACAACACCCACCACACACACACACACACACGCACACACACACACACACACAACACAACACACACAACAACAACACACACACACACCACACACACACACAACACAACGCCACAGACACACACACAGACACCACACAGACACACACAACCACACACCAAAACACAACCCAAACACCACACACACAACAACACAGTAAACCGAGAGAGAGGGGTGGGTGGGTTCATTTCTTGGGCTGCAAGAACGTTTTTACACCACAAACACGCACACCGCACCAAACACCCCCCACAGGGAGGCAACAACGATCATGGTACGAAAAGAGTATCCAGTGGGCACCGTGACGAGGGGGGTCCCACAGGGGGGCGGCCTAGGGCCCATGCTATTTTTGGTAATGTGAAAGACATGACGGAAGGGTTAACTGAAGTGTCCCCGTTTTAGATGAGTGAAATTATGGGGGAGAATTAAATCTTGAGGCCCGGAGGGCTTTAAAGAGACCTGGACAGACGGACACCTGGTCCAGCAAATGGCTTTTTCGAATTTTAATCCTGCCCCAAAGCAAAATCATGAAGAAGGGGGAAAGGGGACAGAAGACCACGACAGATAAGGTAGGGGCCAAAGACGCAAACCCCACTCAAGGAGAAAGATCTTTGGGGGAGATAACACCCAGCAGTCCCCGGGAAACACACATCAAACGATAACTGCTGCAGCATAGGGCGCCTGGCAAACCTGAGAACAGCATTCCACACCTTAGTAAGGAATCATTCAAGCACTGTACAAAAACCCTGTATGGGCAGCCCATACTGGAGTATGCAGCACCTGTTTGGGAAACCCGCACTTGATAAACACGTCAAGAAAAAGAAAGACAAAAAGGTTTGCAACAAGGTTAGTTCCAGAGCAAAAGGGGAAGCCTTGAAGAAAATGGGAAATCCCTGACACACTGGAGGACGGGAGGTGGGGGGACTGAAAACGACATTAAAATACTGGGGAATGACAAGGTGGACAAGGACAGGATTTTTCCAGGAGGGGAACAGAAAAAAGGGCCAAAATTGGAAGTTAAAGACACAGATGAATCACAGGGATGTTAGGAAGTATTTCTTCAGCCACAGAGTAGTCAGTAAGTGGAATAGTTTGGGAAGCGATGTAGTGGAGGCAGGATCCATACATAGCTTTAAGCAGAGGTATGATAAAGCTCACGGCTCAGGAGAGTGACCTAGTAGCGATCAGTGAAGAGGCGGGGCCAGGAGCTCGGACTCGACCCCCGCAACCTCAACTAGGTGAGTACAACTAGGTGAGTACACACACACACACACACACACACACAACACCACACACACACACACACACACACCACACACCACACACACACACACACACACAAAGCTCCTCGTCGCTTTGTGTGTGTGTGTGTGTTGTGTCTGTACTCACCTACTCCTCTAATTGTGGTTACAGGGGTCTAGTCATAGCTCCTGGTCCCTTGAGTGTGTGTGTAAGGGGAAATCTAGGCTAGATTGAACGAATCTTGGAGAGATAGATAGATAGATAGATAATAGATAGATAGAGAGAGGAGAGAGAGAGAGAGAGAGAGAGAGAGAGAGAGAGAGAGAGAGAGAGAGAGAGAGAGAGAGAGAGAGAGAGAGAGAGAAAGAGAGAGAAATTACGATGGGATAAATATAAAGAGGGAAAGTGAGAGTGAGAGAGAGAGAGAGAGAGAGAGAGAGAGTGAGAGAGCAGAGAAGAGTGCCAGTGCCAGGCACTTGCCCCCGTGCTGCGCATGCGTCCTGGACATTTACAGGGGGGGGGTGCCATACGCTGCCAGACGCTCCATCATCCACGTTTTACATCCCCAAAGAAATTAATCACACACTGACTCTTAGACTGGGATTTCACACCCGTGTTAATGTCTTACCATAGTTATAGACGTGGGAGGTGGGAAGGTGGGGGTTGATTAGCAGGAGATGTATTGGGATGTTTTAGTGGGGGTGGGAGGGGAGGGGTGTTGGGGGGGAAGTGGGGGAGCTGTGTTGGTGGTGGGGGAGGTGTAGAGCAGCGCTGGATATCAGTCGGAGTTCAGTGTAAACTGCCTCTGTGGGGCTCATTTCTGAGGCGCTTGACCAGGGGGTACGTTGTCAACACGGGGTGCCAACACGGGGTGGCCAACACGGGGGTGCCAACACGGGGGTATGGACACCTCTCTCGGTGCCAACTCGTCTTGTGAAAAGCAACCCAATCAACCACGCCTAGAGAGAGAGAGAGAGAGACGCCCTGGGATTGAGAGTGACAGCCCGACTACCATGTACAAAGGAATGCAGAAGACCAGCACCAACAGCCAGGTTCCCTCTGTTATTTTACGCGACCGTCGTTAGTCGGCCACAGCAGTAGCGTCATCATTGTAGTGGTTAACGGAGCGATGCATGGTTCTCCTTGCTGTCATAGCCCCCAACAACCCAAGTGTTATTCAGTTTGGTTCCTTTAAACACTGTGTCGTCCAGTAAAATTTACGTGGTAACGCACCGTCACTGCCGTTATCCCTAACTTCCCCAGCAAGCCACATAAACCCTCCTTTTTTTTTAATCCCCCTCCTAACCACTGCAAGAGGACACACACACGTTGGCCAGACGATCCTACGGGATCTTTGCGTGGGAATCTGTGGCGTCGTAGCCGTGCTGGGAATCACTCAACGCTACTGGCCCTCTCTCTCTATCTCTCCCTCCCTCTCGTTGTAGTCTGGAACTCTGAGGCTGTGGTCTGAGTGAAGGGAGTGCTGAGGTGTTGCTGAGTGGACTAAGATCTTGTTCACACCCACAACAGCAACACCCACCACAGCAACACCCACCACACCCACTGTACACTGACCTTCTCCACCATGGGTGAACTATGACGCTAACACAAACCACGAAGGTAAGTCCTGTCAGTAATGTTTTTCTTGTCTTATTCACTGTGATCAATGTCCCTACTCTTTCAAATAGCAGCTCCTTCTGCAGACATCTGAAGGTCCGGGATTCAATCCTAGGCACGGGTGAAAAAGCTGGGCATGTTACCTTGCACCTGCTGCCCCTGTTCACCTAGCATTAAGTAGGTACCTGGGTGTTAGTCACCTTACACCCACTGCCCCTGTTCACCTATCAGTAAGTAGGTACCTGGGTGTTAGTCACCTTACACCCACTGCCCCTGTTCACCTATCATTAAGTAGGTACCTGGGTGTTAGTCACCTTACACCCACTGCCCCTGTTCACCTATCAGTAAGTAGGTACCTGGGTGTCAGGAGACTGCTAGGCGGGGGTCGCATCTTGGAGGAGAGAAAACCCCTGTAGTAAACTCACCTCCCCCTATAGAAATAATGCCATGCCTAGACGCTTTATTGGAGTATCCTGGCCTACAAACCCACTTTTTCATTCTCCTGTGTACGTGATTCTAAGTACGTTTGAATGTTATTGGTTGATAGGCTCATCCCATTCGTACTGTCCGTGGCTGTGTTGTACGTGGTCGTGATGTACGTGGTCGTGATGTACGTGGTCGTGATGTACGTGGTCGTGATGTACATGGCCCTGATGTACGTGGCCGTGATGCAGGTGGTCGTGATGTACGTGGTCGTGATGTACGTGGGCGTGATGGTGTTACAGTGCTTGTGGTACTCACTTATATGTGGTTGTAGGGGTAGTCTAAGCTCCTGAACCCTTGTGTTGCAGTGGTGGTGGTGTTACAGTGGTGCTGGTGTTTCAGTGGGGATAGTGTTTTTAGTGGTGGTGGTGTTGTCACAGTAGCGGCTTTGTTACAGTGGTGTCATTACAGCGATGGTACAGTCACCGTGTTAGTGGTAGTGGTGTTACATTGGTAAGTCTTACAGTGGTGATGGTGGTGTTCCAGTGGTCATGGTAGTACAGTGCTGGTGGTGTTAGTGGTGGTATTGTTACAGTGGTGGTGGTGTTACAGTGACGGAAATGTACGTATCTTGACTTTATTTATTGAGGACACTGGAAATCTCCCAGTGGATATTAACCAAGTCTTCCAGTGGGACACTGAGGACACTGGAAATCTCCCAGTGGATATTAACCAAGTCTTCCAGTGGGTCACAGAATACAATATGATGTCCAGTAAGGACAAATTCCAGCTAGTTCGTTATCAAATACTTGAGGAATCTAAAAGCTAGAACGGAGTATAAAACCAGTTGTGAGCACACAGTCGAGCAAAAAACTAATGTGAAGGACCTGGGAGTGTTAATGTCAGAGGATCTCGCCTTCAAGGATCACAACAATGTCATAACTACAACTGTGAGGCAAATGATAGGCTGGATAATGAGAACCTTCAAAATAAGGGATGCCAAGCCAATGATGATTCTCCTTAAGTCACTTGTTCTCTCTAGGCTGGAATATTTCTGTACACTAACGGCCCCTTTCAAGGCAGGTGAAATTGCTGACCTGGAGAATATGCAGAGAACTTTCACTGCACATATAAGTATAATAAAGCACGTAAATTACTGGGAACGGTTGAAGTCTCTTGATTTGTACTCCCTGGAATGCAGGCGAGAGATACATGAAAATATACACTTGGAAAATCCTAGAGGAACTAGTCCCAAATTTGCACACGGAAATCACTCCTCATGAGAGTAAAAGACTCAACAGGCACTGCAACATCCTCCAAATGAAAAGCAGGGGCGCCATGAGCAACCTAAGAGACAACACAATAAGTGTCAGGGGCCCAAGACTGTTCAGCCTGTCTCCCAGCATACATAAGGCGAGTTACCAATAGATTCCTGAATGTCTTCAAGACCCCCTGGTTGTCTTCAAGACCCCTGGCTGTTTTCAAGACCCACTGGTTGTCTTCAAGACCCCCTGGTTGTCTTCAAGACCCCTGGCCGTCTTCAAGACTCCCTGGTTGTCTTCAAGACCCCTGACTGTTTTCAAGACCCACTGGTTGTCTTTAAGACCCCTGGCTGTCTTCAAAACCCCCTGGTTGTCTTCAAGACCCCTGGTTGTCTTTAAGACCCCTGGCTGTCTTCAAGACCCCCTGGTTGTCTTCAAGACCCCTGGCTGTTTTCAAGACCCACTGGTTGTCTTTAAGACCCCTGGCTGTCTTCAAGACCCCCTGGTTGTCTTCAAGACCCCTGGCTGTCTTCAAGACCCCTGCCTGTCTTCAAGACCCCCTGCCTGTCTTCAAGACCCCCTGGTTATCTTCAAGACCCCTGGCTGTCTTCAAGACCCCTGGCTGTCTTTAAGAGGGAACTGGGCAGACACCTAAAGTCAGTACCTGACCAGCCAGGCTGTGGTTCCTACGTTGATTTGCGCGCGTCCAGCAGTAACAGCCTGGTTGATCAGGCCTTGATCCACCACGAGGCCTGGTCGTGGATCAGGCCGCGGGGGCATTGACCCCCAGAACACCCTCCAGGTAGCCGGTTTCAGTCTTGGTGGTGTTAACTGATGGTATTACAGAGTTATAGTGGTGGGGTTAGTGGTGATTCTACAGTGGTAGTGTTGTGACAGTGTTAGTGGTGATTACATGTAGTGTTTTGGGCAGTATGACATTAGTAGTGGCGTTACAGTGGCAGTGGCGATGTTGTCATAGGGATACTGTTACAGTGGTGGTGGTATTAGTGGTAGTGGTGGTGATGTTACAGGGTTGGTGGTGATACGGTGATGTTACAGTGTTGGTGGTAATACAGTGATGTTACAGTGTTGGTGGTGATACAGTGATGTTACAGTGTTGGTGGTGATACAGTGATGTTACAGTGTTGGTGGTGATACAGTGATGTTACAGTGTTGGTGGTGATACAGTGATGTTACAGTGTTGGTGGTGATACAGAAATGTTACAGTGTTGGTGGTGATACAGTGATGTTACAGTGTTGGTGGTGATACAGTGATGTTACAGTGTTGGTGGTGATACAGTGATGTTACAATAGTGATGTGACATTGATGGTACTACAGAGATGGTGTTACAGTGATGGTATTAGTGGTGGTAATGTTACAGTGGTGGTAACGTACATTGTGTGGTGTTACAGTAGAGTCATGTTAGTGGTGATAGGTATTATAGTGCGGTGTGTTAGCTTGTGTCTACATGTTATAGTGACGGTGTTATAGTATGGTGTTACAGGGTGGGCAGTGATGTTAGTGACGATGTTATAGCGTTGGTGTTACAGGGGTGGGCAGTGGTGTTAGTGAAGGAGTTTATAGTGTTGGCGTTACAGGGGTGGGCAGTGGTGTTAGTGAAGGTGTTATAGTGTTGGTGTTACAGGGGTGGGCAGTGGTGTTAGTGAAGGTGTTATAGTGTTGGTGTTACAGGGATGGGCAGTGGTGTTAGTGAAGGTGTTATAGTGTTGGTGTTACAGGGGTGTTAGTGAAGGAGTTATAATGTTGGTGTTACAGGGGTGGGCAGTGGTGTTAGTGACGGTGTTATAGTGTTGGTGTTACAGGGGTGGGCAGTGGTGTTAGTGAAGGTGTTATAGTGTTGGTGTTACAGGGGTGGGCATGGTGTTAGTGAAGGTGTTATAGTGTTGGCGTTACAGGGGTGGGCAGTGGTGTAGTGAGTGTGTTATAGTGTTGGTGTTACAGGGGTGGGCGTGGTGTTAGTGACGGTGTTATAGTGTTGGTTTTTACAGGGGTGGGCAGTGGTGTTAGTGAAGGTGTTATAGTGTTGGGTGTTACAGGGGTGGGCAGTGGTGTAGTGAAAGTGTTATAGTGTTGGGGGTTACAGGGTGGGCAGTGGTTTTAGTGACGGTGTTATAGTGTTGGTGTTTACAGGGTGGGCAGTGGTGTTAGTAAAGGTGTTATAGTGTTGGTGTTACAGGGGTGGGCATGGTGTTAGTGAAGGTGTGTTATAGTGTTGGTGTTACAGAGGTGTGGGCAGTGGTGTGTCGACGGTTATAGTGTTGGTTGTTACAGGGGTGGGCAGTGGTCGTAGGCGGTGTTATGCTGGTGGGTTGACCAGTCCCGCCATGGTGCGTCAGTTGGTTGTGTTGGTTTAATGATGGGTATTGACAGAGTTTATAGTGTTGGGTGTTAGGTGGGTGTTTTAAGTGGTTAGTGTTTTTACAGTGTCTAGTGGTGTATACTTTAGTAGTGGCGTTACAGGGCAGTGGGCGATGTGTTATAGGGATTATGTTTTACAGTGGTGGAGTGGTATTAGTGAAGTAGTGTGTGTGATGTTACAGGGTTGGTGGTGATACGTGATGTTACAGTGTTGGTGGTAATACAGTGATGTTACATGTGTTGGTGGTGATTACAGTGATGTACAGTGTTGTGTGATACGTGATGTTACAGTGTTGGGTCGGGATACAGTGGATGTAGTAAGTGTTTGGTGGTGTACAGTGAGTGGTACGTGTTGTGGTGATTATATGTGTGTTACAGTGTTGGTGGTGATAGGACGTGATGTTGTTACAGTGTTGGTGAGTGATGTTACAGTGTGTTACAGTGGTTGGGGTGGTGATACGTGATGTTACAGTGTTGGTGGTGTTACATGTGTTAGTGGTTTGGTAGGTGATAAAGTGTTTGTTACAGGTGTTGGTGGTGATTAAGTGATGTTACAGTGTTGGTGTTACAGTGGATGTTACAATAGTGATTGTGACATTGATGTACTACAGAGATGGGTGTTACAGTGATGGTATTAGTGGCAGTGGTAAATGTTACAGTGGTGGTTAATGGTTGCAGTGGTGGTATACGTTTATCATTTGTTGTGTGTTACAGTAGGAGTCATGTTAGTGGTGATGGTTGTTACAGTGGCAGGTGGTGTTAGCGTTGTGTTTACACTGGTTATTATTAGTGACGGTGTTATAGTGTTGGTGTTACAGGGGTGGGCAGTGGTGTTAGTGAGGTGTTATAGTGTTGGTGTTACAGGGGTGGGCAGTGGTGTTAGTGAAGGCGTTATAGTGTTGGTGTTACAGGGGTGGGCAGTGGTGTTTAGTGAAGGT